GGTTACTGAGTGGCTGCTTGTTTTGGGGTCATGGCCCCTGTGCATTTTCCTGGTGGTTAGGCAGGGTTTTTTTTTCTATTGTATTGTTAACGAGGAGCTGCTGGGAGTGATCAGCAAGTTCATTGTGTGAACTGTTCACATGTCCTGGTGGTTGAGCTGAGTTCGTTGACCTTTTGCAGGCTGTATTTTTCAGGATTGGTAGCCAGGTTTTGTTGATTTTTAGACTCTCCTCTTTTTTATTGAAACTGTGCTGGTGCTGGCGAAACGTTAGGAAACAAGACTTCAAGACCACGGCCACACAGCCCGGAAGACCCACACCAGCCATTCACTGAACTGTTGGCAAGGCTTAAACCAAAGGGAACATTCTTTCACCTTTGGTAGGAATGTGATATAAAAGTTTCAGATTTTGGGAAGAAAGATTTTAATGAGTTTAGTCATGCATAGCTGGACAACAGCAATGAACCAAAGGTGGGGTGTGAGACCAGACTGCCGCAGATGCAGGCAGTAAGTGGTGCAGTGATAGAGATGGGACCAGTGATACTTCTGGGCCTTGTGGTGCGATGCAATGAGTGGAGGCACCTGGGTGTCAAATATGCTAGATACACCATTGATAAACCAAAAAAATGGAGTTTTCTCCATATTTCTCCAAATTGAGTTTACTATCTATATTTGAGGGTCACAACAAAAATTGCAAAGTAAAACACTAATCAAAGTTCTACTTTTAACAGCCAAATTAATTATTTCCAAGTAATGGGATAATCTAGATAATATCTCAATGGGTAGATGGTATGATAAGATCTGCTCTATAGCATTGCTGGAGAAAGTTTCTGATAAAATCCATTGCTTCACAGTTCAAAGTAGCAGATCATTATTTATATGAGATACGCATCCTTGTAAGAGACTATATCAGTATTATACAGTCATAATTAAGTTTAAAAAACCATATCAGCTAAAGAAAACATATTAGCAATCATGTAAACTTTAAATATAATTAATAACATTGAAAGAGAAATTTTGAATGTTTTGACCTTGCAGACACTGCTGTGTTCATCTAGTCTCATTATTACACAGCTACTGCAGGGCAAAAAAGTCAGACTGCAATTAATCTCTTTTAACATAATCTAAATAGTAGGTATCCAACATGGGGTTTCGAAGGGAAAGACTGGGCCAAGGTTATAATTTGAAGATTAACAAGGGGGTTCTTGACTTTTAATAAATTTGGGATTAAATTGATTAAAGAGGTTTATTTTAAATTTGAAACTCTAGCCCTTTCGTTGAACAGGTGAATCCAAGATGATTCACAATATATTAGAATGTGGGTGTGAGATATGATCAAAGCCTGGCCTCTTTTTACATGCATGTGATGCACGTTAAAGAGGGATGGGCTCCAAGTGAGCATGTATGCCCACCATCTTGACTTTTTTGACCCCCACCTCCAGCAAGAGGGGGGTCTGGCTGCACCTTTGCCACCAATGCATTTCTGACCTAAATGCTTGTATACGCATTTAAAAATTTCTAGTATAGGAAAAATGTAGTAATTTTGATGACATGTTGTCTGATGCCTCTGTGTGATGTTTTGCAGCTGAAATATTTGCCCTTTGCTTTGTTGCAGTTGCAACCGACAATTTATCTTTCAATCTATGGTTTTCAACAAGCAACCCACAGACTTTACTTGCTATTTCCACTATGTTACGAATTTCCTCCACAACACACAGAATTTAGATCTTTCATACATTGTGGCCACACTTGCCATTTTTTCTTCCTAAACTGTGAAGCCTCAACAGCAATTATCATAGAAAATGTCATGTTGCTGCTAGGTCTTTTCCTTTCATTTATATTTTAAGAATGATTTTTATTCCATTAAAATATCCAACAAGAATAACCTGAAATTTAGGAGGTGGCTCATACTTAGCTGTACACTACATGTACAACTGTTATCCAGGACACAGTATCTTCCAAAGGAACCCGTTCACATAATCAACTGGAATTGGTAGACATTAATTGGTGAATTATTAAGAGATGGTAAACATACTCTAAGCTTCCTGTAAAATGGTATTGGATCAAAAGTAGCTTGAGATAATTTCTCTGATATTCAGGTATATGCAAAAACTTAAGCCTCTGGCATTAATTTCTACCAAGTAAACATCACCAACATTTTATGGTCTTAGATATGATGCTGATATATTCTCTTATAAAACTGATTCCTAATGCAGCTATACCTCATTTAGAACTTTCAGTTCAGCATTTGATTGTGAGAATGTGACCAAGCAGAAATTATTAGATGGAGCACTCAAATCACTATTAATCAGTCAATCAGTCAATCAAGCATTTGGTTTAGAAAATGGCCTTTCATTTAGTCGTGCTTTTCAAGGAAGCACCATTTTATTAGTTTCTACTTCTTTGAAACAATGGTAAATCAAATGAAGTAACTGAAAGTGACCTAAATTATACAATAGAGAAATTAAAAGACATACAAACTGATATGTGTCAAATATCAGAGTAAGTGATGCTTATTCTGCTAGAAAATAAGAATCAAAAACTTGTGATCTTTTTTTTGGCGGGGGGCTGCTGGGAAATAAATAAATAACCAACCAACCAACCATTATGCTAGTCACTGCTCTGAACATCAGTGATTAAAAACCTTCAGCAAGATCTAAAGCAGACGCACATTATTTAACAGTACTGAAATGTAATTTTTGCATTTCAAATTCAACTAAAGGGAATTTATTCATAACTAAAGGGAACAGATTTTTTTAAATGCACATTTTTTAAAAAATGCACATAGATGTAAAATATTTATGTTAAAATAAGGCGCTCATCACTGTGACTATGAGAGAAAGAAGGTGATTGGATGAAGGAACTTATGACATTTCTTTGATCTCTTCACATCTTCCCAGGGAAGGGAGCAGTACAAAATGTAAGATCAGGTTACTTGACTTGGCATCCTAAGCATGACAGAGTGGACATTTCACTATTGGTCAAACAATCCTGTTCTGTTTTTTTTTTTTTTAAAGAGCAACCTATGTGACAGGCTAAACATACATTAGCATATTTTACATCTCAGGCTTACATTTTTCTTGCCATGATCTTTCCCCCTCAATCTCCTCTAGAAACATTTGACTACCACTGATGTCTCCATGGACCTCCAGCACTTGAGAAGCTGGCTAGAGCGCAGCAACAGATGCAGAGTCCCCTTCTTTTAACTCAGGACTGGGTCACTGTCACAAAGAGGCAACCCTTCTTTTCACAATGGCATTAATAAAACAGACCTCTTTATTAATACAAGCTCAAACACTGCAAACACATTCACATAATTACAATTTACATAATTAAAATCAGTTATTTCATTACTTTCTTACATCGACCACCTGTAACATCATAATGCTGGAACAGTGTTTCCATGGAAACATTTACTATACATTCTTTGGTATGATAGACTCTTCTATTAAGTCAAAAAATGTGCATTTCCCCCCACTTTTCTTGGTAGATAATCTAGTGCAAGGGATTTCATATTTAATATGCCATTTTAGTTCTGATGCCTTCTGGAGAAGCCAGTCCTACTGATGTGCCCTGTGTTAACATGGTGTCTGTCAACTGCTGAGAAGCTGCACAAGTGTTTCCAGGCACTTTAAGTAGTAGGCTTCCTCTTGACTTTCTTGTGGCTGTTCAAGACCTAAAAGGGGAGGGAACTGCATTAACTTTTTAAATAGGAGATAAATGTCCCAGTTGAAAAGAGAAATAACAGCTACACCTCTGACATTTTCATGGTGTTGTGAATAGTCACAATTCTGATATTCCATTATTTAGTCCTTAGTCATATTAAATTAAAATACATTTTTCATCAAAATCTGGCAGCTGAGTCCCACTGACTAGCAGGGCCTCTCCAGAGTTTCTAACATGGGTCTTTCCAACCCTATCTGGTTATAGTGTGGTGCCTAGGTTTAAACCTAGGCACCACACTGTTCTACAGACCATTCTCAATTATTCAATACTCTTAGGCAATATTACAATATATTACATAATATAGCCCTACAAACTTATTTGAATGGGTGAGGAATGTATCGGTCCTTTGTCCAAACACTGTCTCATTTGATACTCCCTCCTACGAGTTAGAGCATAATGCACATTATATTACACATAGAATGCCACATCCTTGAAATTAATCTGTTCTAGAACAGAAGTGCTTTTGGCTGTCCCGGTGGTTACATAACTTGCTTCTTCTCCTGCATGTATGTAGGCTTTTTCCCCCCATGAATCAATAAAAAATGGAAAATGTCAAGAAGGTGGATGTTCTACTTAGCGACAAAGAATAGAAAGATTATAATTGTAATGTCAGTTTTACATAGTCTTAATAAACCAAGCCTTCATCAGCACAGCTGTACACTGCCATGATGGAATGGGATTACCAAAGTTGGCCCTACAGGAGCTGTTCATCTGAACATCCCATTGGTTATTCAAAGTTTGAGAATATCTTAATTCACTATGTGTTAACCATACATTTAGTATGCAAAATAGGGCACAAACTAACATTTTAAAAAAGTGTTTATTTCTATAGAAAGGATTGAAGCGCATGCTTAATTCTTACATTTTTTTTTTCTAATTTTGGCAAATGTCCTTTTACTAGAATTAAGCTTCTCTACTTTTGGAAATTCTATTTTCATCCTTGCACAGACGTTAAATTGAGTCTGTGTGCACAAGCTTCTGTACAACTCATTATGATTTAATGAGAGCGCTGCTTGTGCTAATTATACAAGTTATTCTTTTGCTTCACTATATAGCTATTTCACTAGGTAACTAGCTTGGATGTAAAAGAAGATAATCCACATCTGGTTCTCTAGAGGAGGCCATACAAGTCGGCTTTTGAAATCATTATCTTGATATTCTATTTTTTTTTCTTTTACTGAAATGTTTTATGGTTGAATCAAGAAATAGATGTGAAAATAAATCAAGAGCATCTCAGAAGATGAAATACTTCTAAAAGCACATGCAGCTACCAAATCATAATGTTCAAGAATATCCATGGGAAACATTACAGATTTCTCTTAATATAAAATACAGTGTGCTCATGGTACACCTTTTTTTTTAAAAAAAATTATAGATTATATTTCTCTAAAAGTTTAATCAATATCTTATAAAGAAAAATCTCATTAAACTATAAAAATATCTGTAATATTCAGCTCATCAAATACAATTTAACGTTTTTCCTTGAAAAACTAGGGGGAGGGCTTAACTGACTTTTTATCTAGTGAATTATCCAAAATTACTTTCCAGCTGTGCTGATATTAGGCTGGCAATTTCCTTTACTTTGACTGTCTGCCAGGCAGGAGCCTCACCCGCTGGCAAGAGCCAGGAAGCAACCATTTTTTGTTGTACTTGAATAATAAGTGCAGCTGGATAATCATGATGTTTCTCACTAACAAATGCATTCTACCTACAATTTTCATCTTATAACTAACTCTGAATTGCAAAATTTATAGCTAAAACATCAGAACCAATGTTTGGACTTTCTTGCTTATTCCCCATCCCCTGGCTTTTTCTAACATCTTACCTGACATTAGAACTCACATGCTGGACAGTCTTTAGTGCTATTTCAGTTTGTCCCAATGAAGTCATTTCCAAATCATCCATGTATCCATCCATCCATCCATCCATGTATCCATCCATCCATGTATCCATCCATCCATGTATCCATCCATCCATCCATCCATCCATCCATCCATCCATCCATCCATGCAAATGGATTTTAAAAAGTAGTATTCATAACTCATAAACATTTAGAAAGTTTGTTGACTTATGTTGCCATTTGCACTGAGAATATCCCCCTGTTCCCCCCCCCCAACTTATGCAAGCCCCAGTGTTGTGTTCTTGGGCGAAGTTGAATACTGAACACATATTCACAAATCAGATGCTATTCATTTGAGATGGAAACCAAACTTATTAATAACATACTTTTCTTTCCCAACATAAAAGCTTCTTCTACCCTTCTTTTTATTGATGGATTCTTCAAAGTCACTTTTGCCTGTAGCACAAAAAAAGAATAAATTCAATGATTGTTAATTCCCCTGTGCTGATGCTCTTCAAATCATTCCTTCGTCTTACTCCTTCCTTGGCAGCAGGCCATGAGGCTATGACATTCAGAAACTTAAGAATGCAAAACATGAAGGTACTACTGTGAATTGTTTGATGGAGGAGGGGCAGTGCAGGGTAGAGCAGGAGAGAGAAAACAAGTTCAGTGAAAGATTGCAATAAAAAGGAGAGGCAATTTCTTCAAACATACAGTAGCTGTTTGCAATGCTTAGCATAACAGAATGCTCCCTATTGAATATGAACCAGCATTATGACTAACACAATTAATAGAGTAGCACTAGAACAAGCATAGGCTGTTTTTTTACAGGGTAACAAACACTGTCTTTAAAAAAATGTTTGCTAAATTAATATATAATGCAAAAACTTTGTTAAACGTTTTTTTTAATTAGAAGGAAAAGAAAAATGTATGGTTTAAGCAGATGCATCCTAATCATCAGTTTCATTCATAACAATGGTAAGAGCTTCATGAATTATATTCAGAACAGGAATGTAGGAATAAGAAAAGATATATGTAAAAGGAGTTGTCTATCACATTCTAGTGTAAACCAGACAAAGCCAGGCCTGGATTCCGACACAGCAATGAGTAGCAGTTGTAGAGTGAGAGGAGTAGAGTCATAGAGCTGGAAAATGGGCTAGAAGTCTTCAGACCTCTCCATCTATTAAAGCCTTGATGGAGCTTTAATATCTTGAACCCACAGCTATAATCTTAGTCATTGTCATGCAATAAGCACTTTGTAGGAGACTATTGACCTGTATGCCTTTCCCATCTTGGATGACAGAGAAGCCTCCGACGCTCATTTTTTAAGCTCTGGAATGTAACAGAATATTGACAAACATATTTGTTCTATTTCCTTGGGAAGAAATTTCTGGAGAAGGGACAGCAGAGGCTAGATGCAGAAATCCCCGATAAGAGAATGAAGAGAAAAAAGACCAAACAGGGGGAACACAGATACATGTGTCTCTACACACATATAAACACACTTCCAGGGGAACCTGACTTGCAATTTGTGAAACAAAATAGCAGTTTATTTGCCAGATCTACATTCAGGGAAAGATAATGTGCTTTCATACATTGCATAAAGGAAAAAAAAAGAACTTTATCTGTGACCTTTTTTATAATAAACATTTGGACCCAGCAAATATAAAGAGAGAAAGAGAGAGACTGGCTTAAGAATTTTATTTTTTTTAGTTTAGCTTACCTATGCTGAAAGACCAAAATAATCTTCAAGGGTTAAGCAGTATGTTCTTGACCGAAATAGGATCGGCTATTTTTTGCTGCATGCTTTTTCATCTGCTCCAGCAGTGGACTAGATTAGTCAGGGGGTGGGGAAGGGTTAATGACACGTACATGGCAACATCATCATACGCATGCAGCAACTTATACACTTGCATCAGATGTTGGGATGTGAGTGCATAATGGGGACATTTCTGTCATGATACCATCACATGTGTGACATCATTTTGACATTGCGGTTTGCTGCAGTTGCCGCTGGACCCTTCCAACTCTTACATTCTATGTTTCTATGATTTGTTGATTGATTTCATGGACCATGTTCAATGGAAATAGACCGTATTATTGACCACGTTATGGAAATGTAAGCTAGGTGGAAGTGTGTTTATATGTGTGTAGAGACACATGTATCTGTGTGTATATGTATTATGTGTGCATACATACACAAACTCAGGGATTAGTACCTAACTAAAAATTACAGTGCTCCTGTGTGAACACATCAGAAGAAAAACCCTCAGTTTTAAAATACTAACCTTCTGATAATTGTGAAGCAAAGCCCAAATTGCAGATGCTCCTATTCTTCGAGCTATAGAGCTATCACTTTCCAGACAGGCAGATAGTAATGCAACAGCTTTATCTAGGAAGAAGACAAAAGGCCACACACGTATCTAACAAAAGGCTATTATATCACAATTTCAGCTTCTCCGATGCATTCTTGTGAGTAATTTGTCTCTTCCTGTGATAAATATTACAGTGATACATGGGTTTATATAAGTCACAAGAGTTTCATTTCAGGTAACATCTATAGCTTCTGTTGTATTTATATTAAAAAGGACAGTGCATGGTGATCCAGATTTGAAAGGGAAAAGGTGATATGGATCATCAGTTGGCAGCTCTTTAATTCAGGCATGTCAGCTTCTTTAAGAAGATGCCCAGAGGTACTCTATGATCCACCTTTCCCCCTTCAAGTCTAGGCTGCTGCAGATCCCTAGTAAATGTAAAAATAAATCTGGATGTAAGAAATGATGCCAAGGTTTCAGGACTTAGGTTACTGGCAATATACTATTTACCATTGATAAACATTACCTAGTCTATTAAAAAAAAAAAACCCTCAATAATTCTTTCATGCAAGCTTTCTGATTGTGCCTCCAAAAAGTTACTTTCTATTGCACTTGATTTCCTATTATCATTTTGGTCAGAACATCAATTAGATTATCCTTCAGTTCAGCTACATTTTAAGAAGATTTTGGAGCTCAATAATAAATGCTTCAGGAATGTGTCCAGGAAATTGGAGGCAGAAACTTTAGGAATTCTCATGAGAAGAACAATAGCTTTATTTTCCACCCTTGCTTCCAGTGGAGATGAACTTGGCAACCACTGGTGTTCACAGCAAGCCAAGATTGTGCTTTTATTGTTATGATACATTATTATTTTTATATTATGATAATTATAATTATAATATGATACATGTAACAGTGATGTTGCTACATAAACTCCTGCACTGAATACTTGCTGACACAAAGCTTTTCCAGGTCAGATATTCACATCTAGCTTACAGATGCCAGGGAAGTTGTATAATTTTGTAACACACCACGAGTGCCCTCCATCCCTTTCATAACACGTGTCCTTTCACAAATAACAGATGAAGAAAATAGTGGAAGTTCTAGGTCAGTCTATATTTGACTGATTGATAAATCAATCCAGAAATGACAGCAGCTCAGTTCACTTGAGCTAAGGGACTTCGGAAAGATAACAATCAATCCATCAAGACAGCCAGACGGAGAGACAGCCAGACAGCTGGGGTTTATATTTGTTTTGAAGAAGCAGGATTGTAGTTTAGGGCTAACTAAGCATCAGCAGCAACCTCACCAGTCACATTTCTCCATTTTTTTTTATTAACCTCTGAGTTGAACAATTGTTGAGCACTGGGTTTCTCCTTGAAGACAACTTTGACATTTCAGTAGTGCCTACCAGGAGATACTAGGGAATAACTAAATGAAGCATATTTCACTCATTCTATACATAAATAGCTACAAAGCTGTTAGTTCATTCCTAGATGTAGCAAAGTGCAGGACATCACTTATTGTGGCCCTAGTGGTCATGGGTATGGCCCTCTTTTGCAATCCCTAGAACATCTCCAGATTATGCATGATAGCTGTCAAGTACTGCAGTAAGTTTGTTAACAGACTTGTGTTTTGACAGCTTTTTCTAGAATTTGCTTTCCTGAATATATAGCTTTTTAGCTATAATTTTCTAACTTTTGTTATGGTCTGTGGGTTTTTTAATGCTATGCACTATCTGAACTATTGTAACTTATAAATTAATTAAATATATCATTGGATAATATACCAAACATATAATTTGTTAGCTTCAGTGTGGAAAAACTAGGGCTATGCACAAAACTGAAAATCATTGAGAAACATTCCAAATCTTCCACTGAACTGTTTCAATTTGGTGATGGTTCAATGGACTGTTATGGTCATTCCATGAAAAAAAAAGTCAATGAAGTTTTGAATATTTCAGTGATGGGAAATGGGTGGACTCTGAACAAGCTCCAGATCCAGAGGAGTACTGTGGCAGCAGAGAACTCTAACTCTGTGCTCCTATTTATCTGGATTTCTCCAGCCTGGATGTGGTAGCCCTAACCTTACATGAACTTCTCTCTTTCTTGGCCACCAGCCTACATTCTCTCCCATCTATTGTCTTTCTTTAGGTCTTCCCCCTCCCCCAACCCTGTCTCACCTTCAACATATGCTGAGTGCTGAAGAGGACTGCTTGCTGAAAATCTTGTGTAGTAGTCTACCAGAATAGTGAGCCAGGATCCTCTGATCCTAACACTGGATCTTATCTGGCCAGGGAAGAGACAACTGCTCACAATAATATGTGGGCCCTTTACCGTAGCATGCTAATTTTGACAATAAAATTATATACTAGGGTTATTTCATAAGCTCTAGCTCCTACACTGGGGTTACTTCATAAGCTCTAGCTCCATCTTTCCTCAACCCAATACTTTGGCTAGTTGTAACCTCATACTGTATGTCTAAAGGGCCCTTAGTTGGGAAGAATAGCTTAAATCCAAACAGTCTGTATTTACCATTTGCTAGTATCTTGGGTTTGTTGGCTGGACTAAAGCAGATATTGTGCAGAATCAGAAGGATCATGTATGGATTGTTTCTGTGTTTATATTTGGCCATCTCTATAAGTTGATCCAAGCCACCATTCAATTTCACAATCATTTGCTGTCCATCTTCTCCAAACGATAAATTTAGTAAGAGTTTTATCCAAGCAATAGCCAGCACACTGAGGCTTTTATTTCCTCCTTTTGGCAATGACAGTGACAAAAAATTCTGTAGAAAATTATTCTAAAGTAGGACAGGAGAAAATATGTTATTACTAAGGAGTATCTTTTCACAATTAATTTACAAACACATTACTTCCCACAGTACAACTCCTCTCTGGAAATACTGAATAAGATGTTAAACTAGACATTTTATTGTTATATTTGAATAAATTAGCTTCCTCTGTTCTGAGTTACCCTTCCAACTGCAGCATATTTTGTTCCCAGTGTTGAGATGAGGAACTTCTGGTGCTCTAGGCGTGGCTAAACTGGAACTTCCAACAATCTGGCTAGTTGGTGGCAATGGATATTGGGAGTTGTAGTTCACCAACATCCGAGGAGCTCTAAATCCCCCATTTCTGTCTTACCCTGGTCAGAACTTCAACTGATAATCCTGGCCTGTGCAAACCATCTCATTGGCTAAAATTTTGTACAAGTAAAAACATTTCAACAATACTTGAAAATGGACCACTTTTTCACAACAATTTCAGTGGTGTTGTTTGTAAAAGTAAAATAAATTCCCTGTCTTCCAACACTGTTTTTTCAATCCCAAGTAGGTAATCTGGAAATATATAGTGGTACCTCGGTTCACGAACACTTCTGTTCACGAACAATTCGGTTCACAAACAGCTCCGTTCGCAAAATTTTGCCTCCGTTCGCGAACGCCGGATCGGGTTACGAACAGAATCCGCGGCCATTTTCCCTCCCATGACACGTGGTCACGGGTCACGTGGTCACGGGTTCCTGTAGGGAGGGGGACTCTCCCTTTCACAAACAGCTCCGTTCGCAAAATTTTGCCTCCGTTCGCGAACGCCGGATCGGGTTACGAACAGAATCCGCGGCCATTTTCCCTCCCATGACACGTGGTCACGGGTCACGTGGTCACGGGTTCCTGTAGGGAGGGGGACTCTCCCTCCAAGCAATATCCGCCTCCCCACCCGCCTTCCTGTCCTC